GGCTCCCAGCACCCATACTGGGTAGCTCACAACCACCTGTAAGTCCAGCTCCAGGGTTATCTGACACCTCCAGCCTCCATGGGCATATACCCACACCCACATATACATACTTAAAAAATAATAAAAATAAACCTTAAAATAATTTTTTAGTTTCTAGTAACCAATCATATATCTCCTATGTGGAAGGCGGGCTTTTGTGAGGGCTTTAAATATCCATTGGTAAAGTCCATTTAGTTTGGTATTAGTATAATCACCACTGTTCTCTTTGATTTACTGTACATATGGAATATCTTTTTCATCTTTTCGTTTTCAATCTATTTGTGTCTTTGAATGTAAAGTGAGTTTCTTATAGATGGCATATAGCTAGATCATGTGTTTTAAATCCATTCTTTAAATCAATCTATCTTTCCTCCCTCCCTGCCCCCTCTTTCTTTTCTTGCTCTTTTGAGATAGAGTTTCATTATGCAGCTCAGGCTGGCCTTGAGCTCCTGATCATCATGTATGTCCAGGAATGTACCACCATGTCTGGTGCCAATTTCTATCCTTAGGAGAATTTAATGCATTTATATTTCAAGTAATTACTAATAAGGAGAAACTTTTGCCCTTTCTCCGTGCATTAAAGTTTATGGGTGTCCCCCCACCCCCACTTCTTGCGTCTCTTTGCCTTCAGATAGTTTTATTCAATATGTCTTGGCATCTCTTTGAGTTCTCTCCATGAGATGGAACCTGTACCTGGCACTGTGATCAAGGCCAAGAAACTGTAGCTACATAGGTCTGAGGCCCTAGGGGAGAACCTACTACTAATATTCTACTAAATACTCCAGCATTAAAATGACTCCTGATGAATTATTGCTATACCCATAGATCCGTGCATTTCTCAGCCCTCATCAGAGAAGCTGCTTCTTGCAGCAGAATTAATGCAGAGGCCCACAACTGGTCAACATGCAGAGACTAAGGGACCACAGAGTGCCCAGCCCTAAATGGAACATTTACATTACATCTCTCACCCCATAGCTCAGGAATCTTTGAGGAAGGGTGGAGGTTGGAAAGATTGTAAGAGCCAGAAGTGGTGGATGACTACAAGGAAATAGTGTTTTCTAGACAGCAGGGCAGTTGTGCATATGCACTTATATCAGTTGTGTCAGCATGGGCAAGAAATGCTCAAGCTCACACCAAACAAAATCCCAACATGGAGGTGGGAAGTAGACACAAAGCCCCACTTCTAGGTGAGGAGCTATGAGCATTTGATAGCTGCTGAGTAAGGAAAAGTTAGTCTTCTTTAAGGGTGTGACCTTGGTAGGTTGACCACATTCCACTGTGGGTTCCACACCCAAGTGTACACAAATTGGACTCTTTGATTTACTGTATATATGAATGCATGC